AGACTTCAAATGACCCCATAGAAATAAATCTACAGGAGTGAGATACGGACCTCTTCTGCCTCTCCAGCGACCAGAAAAATGATCATCCAAAAGTTGTCGCACTGAAGCTGCATAGTGCACCATCCTGCTAAAAAACTATTTCGTTTTCGAATAAATTTATATCCTCCTCAATCGCCCTATTGATGCACGATATTATTCGATTCTCCAACATATCCAAATATTTATCATTATTCAATTTATCATCGATACAAAAAGGTCCTATGATGTGGTCACCTAAAATTTCTGCCCAAACACAGAGGTCATTGGGTATGAACTTGACGGTATAAATGAGGATTCGTATCACTCCAATATCGACAATTTTGCCTATTAACCTCTCCATTCAAACTAAACGTACAATCATCCGAGAAACAACTTTTATACAAGAAATTCTGATGCAAGTTGATCAGTGGGACTTTCACAAAACTCGATAAGTCTATCGAAACCATCTTCATCGTTGTCAACTCTTGAAAGGTTATACTTTTTATTGTTAGCAGATCTAGTTTCCATAAATTTGTTCATCAATTCCGAAACGTATTTGTGTCGTACATTTCTTTCTTGATGATTATCATTGAACATACGAGCAGCAGCTCTAGCACTATTGCCATTCTGGTAGTACAAACTCACCATTGCTTCTCAAGAATTAACAGAAACACGAATCATAACTTCACCTGGTAGGTAATTGTTATTGTAGAATGAGATAAATACAAAATGAAGAGAATATCGAATTCAAACTTAACTATGCAAAATAAGACTGGTTTTAGGGATACTTCACAAATTCAGGGTGATTCGTTTTCAACTCAAATGATTTGTAGCTCCCGAATCATAAGCTTCAGAACATATGTTTTATACCTTATTGAAATCTGATCATCATGGAGCATCTGATAATGCGAAACAATATAGGGTGATCCTTTAAAAAAAAATTGGTCACATGCTCTGGGGGTGCGATAGGGGAAGTAACATCAAATGTGAATATGTCAAAATGTGTCCCCCTGTACACTATTGTTGACGTGTTTGTTTTTATTTTTCCTGCAAATCATTGTACCAAAATTATTCAGGGTGGCTCGTTTTGAATAGTAATAGTAATAGTAGGTATACTCATTTTATTAGAAGTGCTAACTACAAAAATATATAAATTTGGAATTGAGTTGAAGAGATCTGTATGCATGAGGCTTGTATCGCTTGTCTGCTATAGTCTGCAATTATTTTCACTATACAGAAAACATGTGACATCTGTAGGTAACATTCGGAACCTTCTTGATGATGG